ATTGTGATAATTTTGTTTTAAATTAGGAAAAAGACTTGGGTTATACAGGGGCCCCACAAAATCTAATAGCTCCGGGCCCACAGGAGAGTTAATTTGGCCCTGAAGCAAGGACAATACTAACCATATAAAATGAAGTGAGAGTCAGACTCATTAAAAACAAGAGAATAAAGATGAGAAATACCAGCACAACAGTCCAAAACGAAGCAGGCAAATATCCCACCACCAATAATAATTTCATTTTAAGTTACTTGAGAGAATGAGGCCACAGCCTCAAAATTGGGACAACAAGCTAATTTGTCAGACAAAAAAATCTGAAATTTTAAACAGCTATGGATGAATGCTTTCATTTTCTCCCTGCCTGTTTGCCAGTACTCACAGTTTCAGTAATAGACTTCTGCCCAGGCATCATTGCCCTCAAGAAAAGTCCCATAAGGCCGACCATTTGAGTGGATGCAGGGAGAAGAAATACAATGGGAAATTCAGGTAGATTTCCCCCAATAGCAACACCAGCATTAAGTCAGACAGTTATTTTGAACCCTTTTTTGTTTTCCTTTTTTCTTTGCACAAGACTTTTTTCTAATGATTCCACTTGATTTTTGAAATGTATTATTGTGTATGCACCACAAGCTACCATCCAGGAGGTGGCATTGTTGCATGGGTCTAAATAAACTGAATGGAGTCTATCTCCCCTTGTAAGTATTCTCACACTTCTTATCAAACTGTCTGTACTGGGCTATCTTGATTATCACTTCAAAAGGTTTTTTTTCTCTTACTTAATTGGCCTCTCAGAGTTGGTAAGACAACTCCCACCTGTTCATGCTCTCTGTGTGTGTGTGTGTATATATATCTCCTCAATATATGTTCCATTCTATATGCATCCGAAGAAGTGGGCTGTAGCCCATGAAAGCTTATGCTCTAATAAATTTGTTAGCCTCTAAGGTGTCACAAGTACTCCTGTTCTTTGAATGGAGTAATTCAGCTTTGCATTTATGCAAAGATGGAGTAATGACACTGACATTTATTTTTGAACTGCAGAATAGTTTTTAAGTACAGATCCACAAATACAGAAAGGATTTGATCTGGCAGGTGTGTGTGTGTGTGTGTGCGCATCACTGCTGAAAGAATAGATTCTTTTATAGATATTTGTCTATAGGGGCACAGGATTTTAGAAGACATTTTTTCATTACACGGTTTATGTTTAAGTGTATGGGCAGTGACCAGTACTTTGAGATAAAATGCACATAGTACATTTAGATTGGAAGTCCATGCAGTACATTGTAGAAAAGAAACAGCACACAACATGCTGTGTAGATGTCATGAGAAAGTCCCCTACGTTGGTTAGGACATCTGCTAATTTAAAATAATTGTGGGTATTCTAACCACTCTTTCAGTTTGCTTTCCCCTCTCTCAGGCTAATGGGTATAAGTTATTTTTTATTAGGTACCATTTGTATAATGGCAGTTTCTAGGAGCCAGAGTGATGGCCTAGGACTCCATTGTGCTATGTGCTGTAC